ACTGGCACCGCCCGCACGCGTCACCAACACCGATTTCGGCACACCCTTCAAACGTTTTGTGGCCCCATAGGGAGCTCCACCGAAGGCACCAGTGGCACCGTCCGCATGCGTCACCCACACCGATGTCGCCACACCCCTCACACGTTTCGTGGCCCCATAGGGGTCTCCACCGAAGGCACAAGTGGCACCGCCCGCACGCGTCACCCACACCCATGTCTGCACACCCCTGACACGTCTCGCGGCCCCATAGTGAGCTCCACCGAAAGCCACGGTGCCACCGCCCGCATGCGTTACCCACACCAATTTCGTCACACCCCTCATACGTTTCGTGGCCCCATAAGGAGCTTCAACGAAGGCCCCAGTGCCACCGCCCGCATGCGTCACCCACGCCCATTTCGGCATACCCCTCACACGCTTCGTGGCCCCATAGGGAGCTCCACCGAAGGCCGTACTGCCACCGCCCGCGTGCGCCACCCACACCCATTTCGGCACACCCGTCACACGTTGCGTGGCCCCATATGGAGCTCCACCGAAGGCCCCAGCGCCACCGCCCGCGTGCGTCACCCACACCCATTTCGGCACACCCATCCCGGCACACTCTTCACATGCTTCGTGGCCCCATCGGGCGCTCCACCGAAGGCGCCAGTGCCACCGTCCGCATGCGCCACCCACACCCGTTTCGTCACACCCCTCACACGTTTCGTGGTCTCATACGGAGCTCCATCGCAAGCCACGGTGGCACCGCAAGCGTGCGCCACCCACACCCATTTCGGCACACGACTCACACGCTTCGTGGCCCCAAAGGGAATTCCACCGAACACCACGGTGCCACCGCCTGCTTGCGCTACCCACACCCATTTCGGCACACTCCTCAAACGTTTCGTGGCCCCATAGGGAGCTCCACCGAAGGCCACAATGCCACCGCCCGCATGCGTCTCGCGCCCATTTTAGCACACCCGTCACACGCTTCGTGGCCCCATCGGGAGCTCCGCCGACGGCACCAGTGCCACCGCCCGCATGTGTCACCCACGCCCAGTTCGCAGCACCCCTCACACGTTTCGTGGCCCCATAAAAGGGGGATCCAGCGAAGGCCCTGGTGCCGCCGCCCGCATGCGTCTCCCACGCCCATTCGGGCACACCCCCCACACGCTCCGTGGCCCCCCATGGGGAGCTCCACCGCAAGCCACGGTGCCACCGCCCGCATGCGTCACCCACACCCATTTCGTTACACCCCGCACATGCTTCGTAGCCCCAACCGGAAGTGGCCCAAATGGCTGCTTTCGCGTGCGCCCACCAGCCAAAGTTTGGCACACCCTTCACATGCTTCGTGGCCATATAAGGAGCTCTGCCGAATGCAGTGCGTACAACGACGGTGCCCACAACTGCATATGGTTGGGTCCTTCGCCGCGCTATGGTTCTTATTTCCCGTTTGGCTTACTGATTTTGTCATAGCACTGTTCATACGGATTTCCTCTTACCACTCATGACTTGTCATTCGCATTGCTAACATTCGTCGTCCTCCATTTCGTATTCGCTCTTTTCGTACTGTTAGACACATTCATGCCAATATTTGTCTTACTCGTCCTGTTTCGTCCTGCGTGTCCTGTTCATGATCATGCTCCTGCTACTGCTGTTGGTCGCCCCGTTCTCCCTCCTCCTCCTCCTCCTCCTCCTCCTCCTCTTCCTCCTCCTCCTCCTCCTCCTCCTCCTCCTCCTCCCTCCTCCTCCTCCTCCTCCTCCTCTCCTCCTCTTCCCTCCCCTCCTCCCTCCCTCCCCTCCTCTCCTCCTCCTCTCCTTCTACTCCTCTTCCCTCCTCCTCCTCCTCTTCCTCCTCCTCCTCCCCCTCCTCCTCCTCCTCCTTCTCCTCCTCCTCCTCCTCCTCCTCATCATCATCATCATCACCACCACCACCACCATCATGATCATCATCATCATCACCATCACCATCACCATCACCATCACCATCATCATCATCATCATCATCATCATCATCATCATCAGCATCAGCATCATCATCATCATCAGCATCATCATCATCATCATTATGGCATTCGTATTGTTGCTGGTATTCCGAGTATGACTAGTTTCATTAGTATGGTTCCCGTTTTCTTTATGGTTGTTATCCTCCTGTTCGTTCGTATGATTCGTTTTCTGCCAAATCTCTTCTATTCTCAGTCGCATTAGCACTTCCAGTCGTATCGATAATATTAGAATTACCCCGTCTCTTCTTTAACGTGTTATTATGTTCTGTGTAGTTGCGCTCTTGTAACTGTCCCAATCATCCTGTGGTGTTGGGTCCTCGTTTTGAAATGACAGCGCCCCGCGTCTCTCACTCACTCCTCCTCGCCCCCCCCCTCCACCGCCCGCATGCGTCACCCACACCCATGACGGCACACACCTCACAAGCTTCGTGGCCCCACAGGGAGCTCCACCGAAGGCACCACTGGCACCGCCCGCACGCGTCACCAACACCGATTTCGGCACACCCTGCAAACGTTTT